AAAAAAAAAAAAAAAAAATATTCAAAGTGATAAAAGGAAGAAGTGAAGCTATTAGGCAAGAAGAAGCCTGCATGAAAAAAATGATGTAAACAATACAAATTCTAGACAAGGAGCACATTCTTTGAAATAATTCAACTGACAAGTAGATTTATAGACTAGATACAGCTGAAGACAAAATTTGTGAACCAGATAACAAATTTCACAATTGTCTAGAACTTTATTTACATATTTAATAATTACTGTAACAGAACAAATAAAAATCAGACAAAGCTGTATACACAAAGATGTCTATCATGCATTCTTATTTATTTATTTATTTTTTGAGACGGAGTTTCGCTCTTTTCGCCCAGGCTGGAATGCAATGGCGCAATCTCGGCTCACTGCAACCTCTGCCTCCTGGGTTCCATTGATTCTCCTGCCTCAGCCTCCCGAGTAGCTGGGATTATAGGTGTGTACCAGCACACCTGGCTAGTTTTTATATTTTTAGTAGAGATGGGGTTTCACCATGTTGGCCAGGCTGGTCTTGAACTCCTGACCTCAGATGATCTGCCCACCTTGGCCTCCCAAAGTGCTGGGATTATAGGCATCAGCCACTGCGCCCAGCCCATGCATTCAACTTTAATAATAAAAATCAAAACTCAGAAATAATTTTTAATGTCCACTGATAGGAGACTATTAGGTTGTTATATATTCGCTCAGAATAGTATGCTTTCATTGAAACTAATTATGAAGTTTATGAAGCAAATTGGAAAATGTATGTTAAATACATTTAACATCTAAGTTTAAAAAAGCATGCTGTAAATTTCTACGGATTATAACTACATAACATAATAGAAAAAATGAGTACAAGTAAAATAACATTATAATAGTAACTGTGCTAGAAAAGTGAGATTAAACTATTTTAACTTTTCTGTAGCCCTGTGGTTAGGAGTTGAGTATTACTAATCACCTGCACCGAATAACTCTTTTAATGGAAATTTCTCAACTCCTGCATCACAGTTATAATGTGAATTTTGGAAACTCGAGTCAAAAGTTCATCACTCTTTTCTCTTCATTTATTGCAACATAAACATCTCCAACATAAAGGCATACTCTACTTTTATGCTCCACTCTTCATTCACACTTCAACTGACAGAGTCACCTCCGAAAAAGCAGGAGTTCCTGGGAAGTATCCTCAAGCCTCTTATCATTTGCAGGAGCTATGGAAACAGTACAGACTTGGAAAGCACTTTCCTGGGTCTGGCAGCGTGCCTTAAAAACTATTTAATTAATTAACAGCCCATTACCAAGTTCTTATAACAAACACCTTTTCTGACCTATTCCTCAAGGCTGGCACAGTATAAATTATTTTTATCTGAATTTTAAATACTATTCTTAGAGTGTGACATAAATCAAGTCTGAATTTCCAGTATAAATAATAATAATTTCCCATAATTCCTAACTATGCTAATACCTTATGTTCTATATAAACCATATTTAATTAAACAAGTCTATATTTGAAAGCTTTCTATTGCATACAGTTTTATCTAAGAGAATAACAGAATAATCACATGAAATCATATTTAGAATGTAACATGGTACATGAATTTCTAGCATTAGAAGAATCTTAAAGATTCTTAAAAATTAAGTGCTCCTTCAAGATTTCAAAGGTACGGATTTAAGAAAAAAGTTCTTTCATAAGATTTTCAAGGAAACTTTTTTTTTTTGAGACAGAGTCTCGCTCGCTCTGTCGCCTAGGGTGGAGTGCAGTGGCGCAATCTCGGCTCACTGCAAGCTCCGCCTCCCAGGTTCATGCCATTCTCCTGACTCAGCCTTCTGAGTAGCTGGGACTACAGGCACCCGCCACCATGCTCAGCTAATTTTTTGTATTTTTAGTAGAGATGGAGTTTCACTGTTAGCCAAGATGGTCTCGATCTCCTGACCTCGTGATCTATCCGCCTCAGCCTCCCAAAGTGCTGGGATTACAAGCGTAAGCCACTGCACCCGGCCTCAAAGGAAACTTTAAAGAGCTGTTGTTCAGTGGTGACCAGTTCAGTGAAGCTTCAGTAATGACCAGTTAATGACTGAAAACCCAATCCAAACATATCTGTTTTTAATCATGACTTTCCTGCAGAGATCAAGTTTATTCTCCTGCCTGCAAAATACAATTTCTTTCTGCTTTCTCATCATGATTAAGGTGTTTCACCTTGTACCCTTATGTTATGCAAGCCATATCTGTCTTTAAGTTGCAGAGTCAACATTTTGCACAGAATTTTTTATCCTTTGATGTCTCAATATGCTGATATTTCAGAATGAAGAAGCTTTAGACACTTTCCTGACTGACCTGAGGTGCCAAGTTTGAGGCTGAGTTCACATCAGTCCTTTCCATCATAGTTATAAACCCAACATACAGGCCTGTTATAGTTTGAACATCCCCTCTGAAGTTCATGTTGAAATTTAATTGCCATTGCAACATTATGAGGAGGTGGGACTTTAAGAGGTGATTAGGTCATGAGGGTTATGCCCTCATGAAGAGATTAATGCTGTTATCTTGAGAGTTTTGCCCCCTTTTCCTCTCTGCCTGGCACCCTGGCTTGCCCTTCTATCATGGAATAACACAGCATGAAAACCTTCACTAGACACCAGCACCATACACTTGGACTTCCCAGCCTCCAGAACCATAAGCCAAATCAATCTCTTTTCTTTATAAATTACCCAGTCTGTGGTGTTCTGTTATAGCAGCAAAAAATGGACTAAGACAAAGCCTTTAGAAAGTGCCTTTATTTCCTTTTGTCAACTACTGAAAAAAACCTGTATAGTTTGTATAATTATTAATATAAAGTAGTGAGACTTTTGAAGAAACACACCAGAATTTATATTTACACACGAGCTGTGTTTCTTGTCCTTTGTGCATATATTTATGCATTTATAATTTTAACGTTCCCTTTCAGCAACAGGTGAAACAGAGGATCATTTAAAAAGACTTAGGCCTTCACAGCACTTCACTAAAAGCCTTGTTCTTCTCCCAGTGATACTATCCCAACTTAGAACACTTTTGTACCTACCTTTGGAGGCAATTTCCTAGCCAGGGAAGAAATTTGCCAGACACTTATTCTCCCTAGGGCTAGGTTCTTCACCGGTCTGCTCATCTCCCCTCAACTTCCACCCTCATCCCTCTTATCATGTGATTCATCAGCCACAGGAAAACTATCTTGGCTAGACAGTGCTGGTACAATCCAAGGGTAAGGGCATAAGTAATGGCACCTAACTAGGATGCAGGACAGAGAAATTGCACCTGATGCCAGCTGTTCCTGTGCCAGGCGTTCCTGTTGACTGTGATTACTTTTGTGGTCACAATCAAACTGTAACTCAGTAACAGGGTAAGGATTAGATGTGTGCCCTACAACAAAAGGGGAAATATAACTAGCAAGCCCTGTTTTCTTTAATATAATTTAACATTTGTCTAATATTTCCTTTTAGATTTTATTTCAAAGCTACTTCTAAGAAAGGCAACCTTATTTCATTGATGAATTTTAAAGAAAAAAACTTCAACCCATCGTTTAAAAAAAAGATTAGAATTTAAAAATCTAATCTAAAAAGTGTGTTTTAGGTGCAGATTTTTGCAGCACTTGACGTCATTTGGCTACTGGACAACAAGTTTAAACACAGATGTTGGGATCAATTAGTTCTGAGTTCCCATCAGAGGCCTTCCCTAACATATCTGAACCTCAATTTCTCCTTCAAAACCACGTACCTAACAAGGAGATTATGAGGACTGCAAGACATATCGTATGAGAAGCTTCGTGGTATGAACTCTGACAACAGATATAGACAATAGAAAAATCACATTGGGTTTTCCTTTGCTATAACTACCTGTATTTTTAAAATTGACAAATAATTATACATACATATTTATAAGGTATAATGTGATATTTTAATATAGCTATATATTATGGAATGATTAAATCAAGCTAATTAACAAATCCATCATCTCATATGTTTAAGAATATTTAAAATCTACTCTTTTAGCAATATTGAAATATAAATTAAATACAGTCACCATGCTGTGCAGTGAATCTCTAAAGTTTATTCCTATAATCATCTTTGGATGATGATGATGATGATAATGATGTTGCTATCTAATAATTTCTGAGTATTTATTATGCAGTAGTTACTGTATCACCATTGTAACATGAAGATACTGAGGCTTAAGGAAGCTAAATAACTTTTCCAAGGTTACAAGCCAAAAAACAGCAGTGCTGGGATTTTAATCCCTATCGGTCTGACTCCAGAGCCAGTGTTATTTTCCACTATGATATGGTTACTTCATTATCTTATCAGTGATTTTAGAACCATACAGCCACTCGATTCTGCTAATCACTAAATCCTATGATCTCAGTGTTGAAAATCAAATGTTAAATCTCTTCTACTCACCCATATATCTGATTTTTAGCCTCCTTTACAAATCTGAAGGTGAGTAGGTATAAGGTGTGTGTGTGTTTAAAATGACAAAGGGCTCACTACTTACCAAGGTAGGCCATTTAATCTTTGGCTACCACTATTATTACTAAATCAGTCCTTTTAATATGCAAACAATTTTTTATACTTTCTCATTATTAGGATAATAACAATACTTCCTGACTCCACAGCATCCTGGTAGCTCTGATTTATATGATATAATTGCCTTACACTGTAGACCCAGAACTATTACAAGTAGAACTATACCAAGTAGCCTCCTCTGCCTAATAAAGTCTGCAAGAGTCTCCTTCATCTAGCTATAATAGAACCAAATAGATTCCACAATACGCATTAAGTACTTAGTTACAAAAATAATGTAATGGGGAAAAGTTCCCATATAAGGGATATGAAGTTTGATAAGCCAGCACAAAAATCACGTGGACACTATCAGAAAGTAGAGAGGAGGAGAGAGACCTAGCAAGACTTCAAACAGGAACATACGGGGCCAGCATGACGCTGACAATTACAAGCAAGAAGAGGAAAATGGGGTGGCTGTGGTAATAGATAACAAGGTTAAAAAAATTCTTTGGGGATGAAAGTCAAGGAAGGTATTCAGGTTGGAAGTAAATAAGGAAATGAAACCAAAACACAGCAAAGAGAAGCAAGCAGTTCTCTAAGTCTCAAGGGAAGATGGGGATAAGAGGCACGCAGGGGCCACGACAGCATTTGGATACAGAAATGGAAGCAGAAGTAGAGCAGTAATTAAAAGTAACTTGGGCCAGTTAAAGACCATGAAGCTTGTGACGAGGAGGATTAGAAGGCTTGAGGTCATGGTTTCCTTAATCCACGAATGGGCACATTGTTCCAGTGCCTGGAAAGTGCAGCTAAATTCCTCAGCAGCCAAACAAGATTCCTCACACTCAGTAGCAACAGACCAGACAGAAAGGCACTTCATTTAGAAGCTAACAACAAGACAAAGATGTCCTGGCTAGGCTCATCAAAGTAGGCCATTCTGGAGATGATTATTCTCTCCAGTATTTTACTCTCTAATGATACAAAAATAATTCAATGTATACCATCCATTAGGAGTTTGGGGTTCATAAAAAGATACGTAACTAAAGATCTTATTTCTTTGGAGAATACAACAGCACCTAAAATACAGGTGGAGAAATTATTTTAGTACACCCTGCCTAGATGGAAACACTGATTCCAGAGGTCTGCCTGAGAATACACCCTCATCTGTCAGGGATAATTGATGGGAGTAACATTTGTTCTACAGCTGCTATGCATTTTTTCACTTATCTTTGCTTTGAATCATTCCACTCAGCATTAGAAAATAATCATTTTGTTTCCCTCTCTCAGCACAAATAATACAAAATCAATGCAGTGATGCATGAAGGATTTCATTACAATGTGTTCCTATCACACAAGAGAGAAATCCTATACTTCGTTCAAAATTGCAAACTTAAAGGGAAAGACCAAGACAAGTGTGTGAACTCTGGATTAGTAAGCAATAATCCCTAATGTTAACAACTGTGATTCAAATTTTACTTTACATTTTATCACTAAAACACCATACTTCTAGGAATTATCAGGAAGAAGTTTACTTATTTCAATTGTCATATTTTAATTACTAGTTGCCAAAACATATCATTACGTCTTTGTCTGCCATGTTATAAGACAGGTGGTAACATTAATATGGGATTCTCTGTGCCCCAGACTTCACTAGTTCCTTCATGCTACCATTGTCAAATTAAGTCCA